ATGGCTGTCCCATGAGCTCCACAGCAGCACAGAAGTTTCTGCAAACAAGGCAGGCCCCCTGTCCTTCTGGCAATGCTCTTAACGAGATGCTCCACTGAACTCTTAAAGCACTAAGACTTCACTGTTGATATAAAACATACACAGTTTTGCTTCCTAATACGCTATAAAATAATAGCTGTCAATTAAGCACATATTTTGATATCTTCATCCAAAAGCGTTATTATCTTATTAAAGTACTGCTTTGCTCTGTCACTCAGTTGCAGAATGCAATAATTTCACACTACTTTCCCAGCTCCGAGTGGGAATGATCTCCGTGCCACCACCGCTGGCTCTCACCAGCCCTTCCATCTTTTTCCAGATCATAACCCAGGCCTACAGAATGGGTGGCAAGTAAATTCACACCACTGAACGTAATTTCCAACAAACTGCTCAAATAAATTGTGCTGCATCTTTTTAAGATCACCATTAACCCAAATGTTTGCTATAAAGCACCGCACGTTTGGCAGTGGTGCTCTTTAGATGTCAGGTATCATCTAAAATGATGCCCAGCAGATTTCTTCTAAAAATATGCCACTTAAAAAATGATGCCACAAATGCTAACTGCTGTGCTGCAAATGTATCAAAGCAAAACAGCAGCGAAAGATGGGGGAACAAATCCCGTCTGCTAATGGCCCCGCTCCCGTCTCAGAAGGGCTGGGAAATGCAGTGCTTTACAGTGTGAGGCTCTGAGGGCAGGACTCAACTAGCTCTCTGCAAAAGTAATCTCCTGATTAAAAGGGAATGACCAAAAAATGAAGCAGCGTTGCATCAAGTACCATTTCACGGACGCACTCCAAAAGAGATAACAGCCTAAAAAAGAATACATTAAAGAAATTAAGTCAAATAATTAGGAAGCACTCCTGGCATGTGAAGCTGGTGAAATGCTACGTTCAGACAATTTCCTTCCGTGCTGGTTGTCATTCAGCATTGCCATGAAAATATGAGAATACAAGAAATGTCTCAACTGCAGAACTATAGAAATTAATCTTAGTAGAAAATTGTTCCTATGCAACTGAATAATTAGTTTCCCTTAAGTCACTCATCCTGCTGCTGCTGCCTACATCCTGTTTCGTCTATTTCTCGTTAAATTCCTATTCAGCCATCACTGAGCTATGAGATGATAGGATTGTATAATAAACAAAATAATTAGTTTCCAAACTGGTAATATGTTGTAACATATTTCCTGGAATACATTTGTTTTGTAACTGCTATTCTGTGTCCTCTCGCAACTGTGAACGCAGCTGACATGCATAAGAGGTTGAGAATATGGTGTAATTTTGCCACAGATCCAATGGATGAACCTAAATTCACGCTCATTTAGGAGAGCGAAGTGAACAGGTACAGGATGCTGCACCAGGTAAGTCAGTCACCCACATGTGTTAACGTGCGTCACACAACCACTTGTGCTCAGAGGAGCCCAGCACTGACTGTGGAAGCCCCTGCCAGGGCAGCCTCAGCAGCCAGGACACCGCAGGGCAGTGCAGTGCCCACCATGCACTTGTCATGGAGTAGATTTAAACACTTCCAGAAAGGCCATTTAGCTCCTTCTCTGATTCCCACCGTAGGACTCAAAATCCTGTTGATACCTGGAGTCACTGGGTAATTTTCCAGTGGCCAGGAACATGTGGTAACAAGAGGTAAACTCACAATTACAGCTCAGAATCCCACAGCACTGTGTGCAGAACTTGTATGCTGCACCACAGGAAGGATGCACATGGGAGGGAGCTCCACAGGATTGCAATGGGCGCTGGCACAGGCAGACAAATATGTACTTACTCCATCAGCATGAGCTAGAGCTCAAGACCATACTGGAGGCAGGCAGGGTCGATGGCCTGCTCAGGCAGCTGCTCCCCAAGCCCAGGTCTCTACTGGCTAAGCTGAGAGAAGGGCTCTGTTAGCTTTGCCAGTAAAGAAAGCTGCCCCAAGCAAGCAATGGGCCCCATGTGGTCACCTCCAGTGGCCACCCACAGCCTGCCTCGAGCAGCGATTCAGCAGGTGCTGCCGGTCAGTCATCCCCAGGTATCACCTCCATCATTCACTCAGTTCTCCCAGGTATTGCCTCCTTCATTCAGTCTCCTTCAGCATCTCCTCCTCCAAGGGAAAAGGGAAAAAAGAACAGCTCCAAAGAGACTCCCATGGGATCCCCTATTAATAAAGCCACGTTGGTACAGAGAATTAGCTGTGTAGGTAGGATACGAGAGCACGAGGGCAAGCCAGGCTCTGGTGGGAGGACAGAGGGGAGCGGCCTGGGTCTGGCATGGATGAGGATGCCAATGTGCGCTGCCAGGAAGGCATCTGTCTGTCTGCCTGTACTCCTGTCCAAGTGCTGTGCAGCCTGAACCTGCAGGATTAAATGCCCGCAGAATGCTGCCTCAAAGGAAAAGCCATTTTGCTGTAAAAAAAGCCCTTTTTGATTTACTACATCTCCAGAAATAACAAGTCACCCTTCCCTGCCTGCCCATCACATTTGCTCCTCTGTTCTGGTGTGCCTCTCAGCATCCACCGAGCAAGGCCAGAGCTTGCTAACAAATGACACTGCTCTTTTAAAAGCTTCTTCAGCACAAGTAAGAATAGAAGAATGACCCTGCTCTAATTATGATCATTTTTGAAATCCTCTTCAACTTCCTCAGGGCTGCAAGCATTAGTTGCCTGGTTTTAATTCAATGAACTCAAAGCAGCGGAGTTCATTGATGCTGCTTCATACGAAAGTTTGCTTCCATGGAGGCAGTATTAGAAAACGCAGTGCTGGATCCCAGGAGAATATTAAACATTTAATATACCAGCAAGTCTATCATTATATAAAAATGCTGTATGAAAGATAAGCCACTGAGCTAAAAAGCATGTGAGAGCTCTGCAGGCTGCTGTTGTGCACTGCAAACGTGGGCATTGAACAAGCCAGGATGCAAGACCTTTTCCTTCCTTTTACTACTACTCAGTGGCTTTTGCTATACCAGAGATGAGGAGCTGAGGAACTCCCTAGGTAGCTAGCTGCATGCAACTCATACTAATGGAATGCAGCAGTAATTTGCAGCGATTGTCCAAAACCGTAATTTACTGAAAATGCTGTTATTGTTGATCTTTGACCAAAGCTGAAGCATTTTGGTAAGGGAGAACAGAAGTTATTGTTCCTTAAGGAACTGACTTTACTATCACTAGCCACTATAAAAATTAATCTCAATTTTTTTTTATATAAAACAGTATTTGAAAGTAAATATCCCAGTAATTCCTGTACCCAAGGTGACTAACAACATCCAACCCATTCTAGCTATTGCTTCTCTTTACCAGCTTAAGGATGTCAGCTGGCAACACCAGTTAGCTCCTCCAGTACAGGATCTCCTTTGAGCATCTCAGGGAGTGTGGCTCAGGCACAGGCTGCCTGGCGCTTCAGCCCATGAACGTGCCACACTGATGCCTCTGAAGCCAGGATTTTAATCCATATTCTAAAAGCACAGCAAACACAGGTGCAGTGCTCCTGTGTGCAAAAGGCTGGTCACTGTCATACACAGGTGACTCTGAGCAAAGCTACCCAAACCTTTCCTTAAGATTAATTTCCACTTCAGTGCATCATTTCAATGCCCTTCACTGCTGCAAACAACATCTCTTGCAAGCTCTAGTTCCTTATACGTTGCTGTTATTGCTATTACCTTGCCACTAATGGATGATTCCCGTCATTGCTTAAGTTTTCAGTAGAGCAACAAAATTGAAATTAAATTCCTTGGTAATTCCTGCACTAAGATGACCGATAATACCCAGCTACTGCCATTGCTGTGGTCATTGCTGAGCCCTTACCTTGTGACCCCACGCTGGGCCAGCACCCCCCTACAGCAGAGGAAGCAGCTCAGTTCTGAGACCAGCCTCAGCTCTGAGGCCGCCTAGCACAGCAGCCCATGTCTGCAGAGAGCCCCAGGCTGGGGACCAGCCCCAGCAGAGCATGGGGGAAGGAGCCATCCTCAGTGGACAAGGTCTCTCAGAAGTAAGTCTAAGCCAACCTATGTCACAGAGGAGAGAAGCTCTGTGCTTAGGGCTGTGGTCTGGTCCCACCAGCACAGGGCTTGCTATCTGTTAGTTCAGTGAGGTTCGCAGGCTTGACCAAAAACTGCTGCCACCATTGAACATGGCTGTTTCTTTACAAGAGCTACTGGGCAAGTGAATGGCTTTTTTTTTTTCCCCATCGCAATGATTCGGATGGTTTTGATCAGCGTTTTTTTCCTTGGTGAGCACAATAACAGCCTTGCCGATTACTCTCCACTAAGGTACCCGATTGTGGTGACATTGAGGCTGACCTTGGAGTCACCTCCCCCGCTGCCGCACTCTCCTTTGTCGTACCACCATTTGTTTTTCAATTTGTCCAAGAGGCCTTGCTCATTCAGTTTTAATACTGCCAGGTTAACAGCATTTCTTGAAACGATAAAACATAACTTGTAAGAAAAATGCACAAATGCTTAGGAAATCGTAACGTATAAAAAAAGGAGCACAAGAGGACAAATTGGCTAAAATTTCACAGAACGTGGAGCTATAAAAATGTTTGTACAGCAAATACAGGGTTAAATATTGGAAGGTGGCATGGAGGATAACATTTGCTCAAAACTGAAGTGTGCGGGATGGGGAAATTGTCTTTGAGAAAAAAAGTAACAAGAACACCACATCATGCAGTTAACATTCGTCACGTATGGCAGGTTAACTCGGCTTTTACCATTTAAATTGAAAAAGCCATCGAACTGTAAAATTAAAACAGCAACAAACAATCAGAAAGGACAACACGAAGAGAGCACTAAAAAAAAAAAGGATGCATTAAATAAACGAAACCGTAATTTACCGTCTTATTTAACTCCATGGAATATTGAAGATTTTTAAACTTTAAAAGTTACCTCAAAATCCACAAGAAAGAAAATGACAACACAATACATCAGGGTAGGTGGAATACTATAACAACATGGATATTGTTATATTATTCCACCCACCTTAATGCTGAGCCTTTGGGGGTGGCTACCCCGTAGCCCTTGGAATCCAGGTTCCCTCCAACTTTCATGGTGTCGCAGGGCTTGCGCTGCTCGATGTACTCGTTCATCGTCGACTCCAGCAGGAAGGCAAACTTCCCCTTGGACTTGCGCACCCTCGCCACCCCATCCGCCGTGGTTTTGGTGAACACGGAGGGCTCGGCCGACTTCATGTAAGACCACATTTTCTCGTAGACGGCAATTTTTGATCTCTGGGAGAGAGGAAAGGAGGGAGGTGAAGGGAGGTCAGGTCAGCAGAATAAAAATGCTGCCCCAGCTGTCCTTCTGCAGGGCTCTGTACGCATTCTGTCAGCCAAAGGGAGGCTGCTTGACCCAGCATGGCCAGTGTTGGCAAAGGAAACCTCTCCTTCGCACACGAATCCTCAGCACTGGCTTTTGGGCTCACTCAGAGTTAGGAAATGCCAACATTTGCTTACTGAAAATTCCCAGCAAGGCACAAGCCTGCTTTTCACAACAGCAGTGGAAAGTTCATAATACAGTACATGAAGCAGACCTTATGATGCTCAAACGAGAGCAATTAAAAAACCCCTTCTTCATAATCAAACTTTTCAAATTCAGTTTCACATTCCCCTAAAAGATCACAAATGCAAATGTTAGGAATGAGCTGAGAAAATCCCTAGTTAACTGCTTGTGTGTCATGTACATATTACCTCTGTTTTTTCAGGTTTCCTGGTTTTGAGACTGAGCCAATGCTGACAGCCTCCAGCGCAGCACACAGGCTTTGTGAAGCTGGAAAAGCAGAGAAATGTATTGTTCCTTCATCCTCATCCCCTCCAGAGGGATTTAAACCACCCTCAGATGTTAAAGCCACCTCAAGACTCTTAAGCATTGCTATCTGGCACTGCCAGTTAAAACTTTCCTGCTTGGTCGATAGAAGGCAGTAATGCTTACTGTATTGCTCTGAAGTCTGGAAATTCCAAGGATTTATACAAGGCTTTCAGCCCAAGCTGCGGTTATCTTGAATTTATGCCTCCTACTCCTTGCCAGTTTCCTGTCCACAGCCTTCCTTGCAGAACAGGACTGAAGCACGCAGTAGCTAAATCTAGCTCAAATTTAACAAACTTGAGGCAGAAGACCGTTAATGTCCATCAGTTTGATGATTGAGACACGTTTCCTTCGCATTCAGACCAATTTAATGTGTTTTGAATAATGCAATGCCTAACAACCAGCCCGCAAACATTTCATGGGAAGTAAATCCTGCCGTCACCGTTCCTCAGACTAAAACACCAGCTAGCATTGCTATGATGGAGTGCGAAGAGCATGGAGGGCAGGATTTTATTTTAATTATCCTTCCTGATGAGCTGAAAAATGCAAACCAATTAAAAGCAGCACCATCAACAATGGGAAATCAGAGCAATGCAATGTGGCTTCATTAGGAGCTAGCAGGCAGGGTGGGGTGCTAGAAGCAAGCCTGAGGGCTTTGAGATGAATGCCTCCAGGGCCAAGGTTGGCTGCACAGGAGCACAAGGGATGCTGGGCACTTGTGCAGCATGGGAAGGATGTCCCTACCGGGCTCTGGAAGCTCCCCACAAGTGATGACTGTCACTTCCCTGGTGCCCTATGGGCAACAGTATGCAGCTGTGTGAGGAGAAGAGCTGGTGGCAGCCCCTGGTGCGGGGCTAACCACGGCCAGGCCTGCCCGCTCTGCTCATGCAATTTGCTCACGCAGAAATGTAATAGAAACGGATTGCTTGGCCAACACAGGGACTGCATAAGCAGTGTTAATTCTGCTGTGTCCTACTTTCAAGGTGCTTGTCCTTACAACCTTAATCTTCTTTTAACATAAATAATACAAACGCACCTGCCCATTTGTATTTGCAACGGGCATCTAAAGGACAAAAGGAAGGTAAAAATGTGGCTTTCCTGCTTCTCTCTCTCTCTATCTCGTTCAGATAAAGTGGTTTGCCTTCAAAAACAGTGCATATGCTAAGTACGCTTCTGCTTGTTTTCCTCTGCAGAGCGTGCCTTTAATTACACAGATAAACCATAATTTCTTTTCCTTTTCATCTTCTAACCCACACTGGAATATGTCTTTAATAAGTTCTTTCATAGTCTTTCTAGCTGGCCTGACTACTAAAAGCAATTGCCAATACATCTGTGCATTGTTAATAATAACAGTTATCTGATGAGCGCCAACAGCGCAGTCAGAGCTGCAAATGGTCCAAACAAAGCTCCAAGGGCAAAGGGGGAACACAATCATCCATCATTCAGAAAACAAAATTCCACAATTAAAACATTTGAGATTACAGATTTCCTTTAAAATTTAACAGATAAACCAAGCTTTATAAATTGCTCCCTTGCTCTTCTGAATGATCTGGTTAATAAAAATAATTATGTTTCTATATGATCATCATTGCCCACATCTTATTCTGCCAAGTGGGGATTTTCACAATATCTTGTTATTAGCAAATTAACTAAATGAGTACAGCAGACTGGTCTAATCTAGTGTAAGCACATAAAAACATAAACCAGTAAAGCCAACACTGAGTGGGAATAGTTAAAAAAAATGCATCAGACACACAGGTTTTGGAGGACCAGAGGCTTGGTGGGTGCTGTGGCCAAGGTCCCATGAGTGGGGATGGGGCAGTGGCACCACTGCACCCCACAGCGCCAGAGCTGCTCTGTGCAGCCTGAGGCCTGGGCTGGCATTTGAGAAACCTTCCAGGTTTTGCTCACCCAGGAGACCCTATTTTGCACCTTCTCCACTCAATAAAATGACCAGTAAGCTAAAGGTTGTCAAATATATGATGTGATGAAATAAAAGATAGCATTTTCAGTAAATGGTCGACTAATTTCTAATTGCCCCCCCCAAAAAAAGCAAGCAACCAACCATATCAGAATCCCCCGTGTCACCCACCAGGGGGGCTGACAGCAGAGGTGCCTGGCATGCAAAGGATTTATGCTCCCAAGAGAGGTAAGGTTGGACAAAACTGCACTGCTGATAGGGTTCAGTGGCAGCAAAACGTTTTCCTTCTCATTAAATGTTACCCTTAAAGAGATATTTAGAAAAAAAAATAAGCTTAAAAGCGAAGATGTAAGCCAATTCAAAGCCCCTAACTGCAATAACTCCCTGCACACTCTAACTCTTCTTTCATTTCTTTGATACTGCTCTCAAGAAGTCCGTCTGACACATTTCCTTGGGATTTCAAGGGGATATTATTACCATTTTTTCCTTAAAAGCAACATTTGCAGTGTTTCATCTGGGCCTCGGGACACATTAAAGCATCCTTTCATGATTAGAACCTTACTGCAGATATAAATAGAGTGGCCCTGCTTTGTCAACAACACTGCATCCCTCCGCAAGACGCAGTGTCCTGCAGAGCCAGTCCCCATTTTTAACATCGCTTCGCCTTCCAGTTTTCCCCCCTTGTGCATGTGTTTGGCTCCAGCAGCTCAAGGAAAGGCCAAACTGGCTCAGACTGCCAGCATGTGCAGGCAGGAAGGCAGCAGATGTACCTGCTGACTGCTTCCAGCTACCCAGCTCCAGCAGCGCAGCTCTGCAGCACTGGGACCAGGCGCCTTGGTTGCTCGTTGCCAAAACTGCTGTTCAAACTGCCTAATATTGCAAAACCCAACACCTCTCAGATGGTTATTTGACACTGGTTAAATTTAACTCTGAAAAATCTCTTTGTGACAGAAGCTTCTCCCATTGACCACATCACCTTCCCCCCAGAGCAGACGCCTGTCTCACACTTCTACTAGAAGTGACACTGTGTCAGCTCCTCCGCCACCAAGTGTCACAAAGCTGTTATGTTTGAAAGAAACAGTGCTTTTCCTCTATAGCTAAAGTATGTTACGGGGATAATCTCTGCCCATTCCTGAAGGTTTTTCCCTCTCTGTCACCGCCTCTGCTACCCACAGACCTTTTTCAAAATGTTCACCCCATGTGCCAGTGGAGTATTTCATTAAAATGATCAAAATGGACCTCCGTTTCTTCTGACAGGCACTGGCAAATTATTTCCCAGCAGTAAAGCTCAAAGTTTACTCACGAGTGATTTTTGGTGACAATCCAGTCATAAGCCAAATTCACCAACATCAATTTTACATTTAAAATTAATTGCATGTTCTCATTTTTTTCAGTCTACATGTTTAACATTTTAGATTATACTGATGTTACACTTCTTTAAAATTAAGAGTCTTCAAAACTAAGATATTAAGAAATCTAAAGCCACCAGAGCTGTGCTATGAGAAGTGGGAGAACGTTGCATAATCAGCCAGCATTCTAACAAATGGTGCAGGTGGATGGGAGAGGAAGAAGACCCAGAAGGATGCCAGTTACAGCTGACTCAGAGTCAGAGTCTGTATTGCCTCAGAGCTGTGTCCAGGCCACGCAGAGTTCATACACTTTGGTGTAGCTCATTATGCACTGCTATGCAGTAAACGCAATGTCAACGTGCAGCAGTTGTGAGCAGGGACCTGTCGCAGCACACACTCTTCTACTTCACCAGCTCTTTATAGCTCTTTAACAAGGGAAATTTATAGCCCTAAATCAGGCAGATGTTGCTGACACAAAACACAGAGGTCCGTACTACAAACAGCACAGATCTTTAATCTGAATAATACACACTGCCTTTAGATATATGCACACCTCACCGATAGGAATCTAAGTAGTTAAGCATGAACCTTAGCTTCATTATCATCATTCATTGCTTTTCTTCCATGTGCGCAATTAGCTCTTTTACAGCAGCTAATGAATCCAGCAGCTTATGAACCATTAAGAAGCAAGTGACTCAGCAGGAGTGAAAAAGGACCAGCCGACTGCCCTGCTACCACTCTGCTGCCTGCCTTGGGAGCACCGTGACATCCATCCATTTTGGGCAGCTGCTCCCGCCGTGACAAACCACGGCTACCCCTGCCTCGGGCTTTAGGACGAGTATAGATGAGTGCCTTCTGCTCCCCACGAACGTGACACAGAGCAACCACAGCTGCCTGGGGAAGGAGCACAGGGCAGTGGTTGGTGCCCTTGGCCAAAGGCCAGCTCTGGAGCACACGGAGGCTGGCCTAGCCTGCCACATCAGGAATACAAACATGATAAACATCGTTACTAAGGTGCCTCTGCCTGAGATTTCCAAGCTTTTCACAAAGAAGGAAAAAATAGGTCTCAGAGAAGGCCTGAGGGCACATTAGTTCCCTTTCCAGCTGCATATGGGAAGGCAGGGATGTCACTTACTGAAGGTCATAGGGCACAGCC